TCTGTTAATTCCAAGAAATTTTCCTCCTCTGGAAAACTTCTAGATTCTTTATTTTGGGAGCTTGCTGAAGCCATCATGGATTGCCTCTTTATTTGATTTGATATTGACTGTTTTCTCTGAGCCATCAATACGTTATTATATTTATTTATTTTGTTTGCTTATTGTGTCCTAGCTTCTTGTTTTGTTTTGATATGCCCCAATAGGCTACTCCTATGAGCTAATTTTATTATTGGCAACTTTGAAGCTCTAATGTCCTGTCACCAAGTGGTTAGATCTGTTACTAGGTATGTGAACTCAGGAGTCCGCCCACTCCTCCTGTATGGATTCGACTCAGGTGCCCAGGTAGATAGACACGAAGCGTGTGGTGCAGGCTCTCACTTACAGTCCTAGACAGGCATGGGTGATTGATGTAGGCACAGGCATCTGACTGCAGACAGGGGACACACTCTGAGCAAGGCAGGGGACTGACAGCCATCCCCAAGTGTCCAGCAGGAAGGCATGTCCCTGTTCCCTAAAGTGCATAGGTGGGTGGGTTTTAGAGCCATACTATGAGCACCCAGTGCTGTTGGCTGTAAGGACTGGGGGCCACCTCTTATTCATGGGCCCCTATGGCAGGTGGCTAGGTGGCATGTGTGAAGCCACCAGTCCTCAGGTCCCTGATGTGGGTAGGTGAAGACCCTGCTTAATGGGCAGAGCAGTCAAATGTCAAGAACCTGCCACTTCACAGATGAAACACTTGAAGTTAGACTTCAGGTATATAGCCTGTTGTATTGCAGTAATGAGGGCCTACGCTGTTGAAATAGGCCCACACAAGTCTATGCAGGGAGAAAGGCACTCAAAGTCCTTGGATCCCTTATGCTTGTGCTTAGGCAAAGGAGCTGTGCCTACCCTGGGTTCCTGGCTTATGGGAGCCGGCAGTTTATTTTGTTCCCCTATTTGTTGGTTTGTTCACTCTCCAAGGCAGGGAGAATGGCTCCAGGCATGTGATGGATCCTACTTCCAGCCCAGGGGACTCGGCAATTGCTGAAGCCAGTCCGGGACCCAGTGCAGAGCAGGGAGCAGGTAGGTAAATGGGAGAGAGGTTTTTCCCTAAGGGGGGTGTTTTTGATCTGCAACGTAGGCTGTACGCAAGTACTTGTCTTTCAACTATCGCGGGCTGCTTCTCACTGGTTCTGGGTGGCTGTGTAGACTCTCTGCCGTCGGGCATCTTCCTGTGTGGAAAACGCTGCTCCAGAGCACTGCTGCTTGCCTGCCTCACCGGTCACCCATCAGCTGATCAGGCCTGAAGGGCTCAGGCTTTTGCCGGGACAGGTCTGGCAACTCCTTGCTGCTTCTGAGCTGTCTCTCCCTCCCCCTGCCACTCAATCCAGTTCCTCAACTCTGCCTTTGATGTTCAGGGTTCCCAGACTGCCATATATAATCAATTCACTTGTTTTTTCGGGTCTTTGTTGTAAGAGGGTCCACTGGAAATGTCTGACTACTCTGCCGTCTTGGCCTTGCCTGTCTGCTTTTAATTTTTTAATGCATCTATTAGAAAATTTAAAATTACTTATGCGACTCCCATATTTCTGTTAGACAGCACTACTCTATAGGATTAATGGGCACTGATTTTTCTCAACTCAGACTTAGTTTTTCCTATGCCGTGACTTCCCTGATATTTTGCTCTAAGATGTGTAACACCAGCTGGGTTGGGTGCCATGGTCTATTCCTTTTTGCTCCTCTGTTCTCTGACTTGTATTGATTATGTTGGAATTTTCCTCTTGTTACTGAAGGCAGAAAAGTAACAGAGAATGATTGGCTCTAATCTGAAAGGAGACTATAGCCCATTTATTTAAACTTTTTGTGAACTGTGCTTCTCATTTTTAACATGGATTGATAATGATTCCTACTTTTCAAGGTACTATGAGGATTTAAAAAAAGAAAATGCATTTAAAGACCTTAGCTAAGAGTTTGGCAGCTAAATAATGTTAAAATTACTTTAGTTATTATCATTACCATTATTATTGACATAATTCACCTTATATCTTCGAAATATTTCCTAGATGGTAGCAGTAATAGTAACATCATGTTCCAAAAAATTAAGAAAATAGGACAAAGGTTCAACAATATAGTTGTATATTTTCAAAATGCTGACTCTCCACACTCAGGCTGGCTAAATAAATATTTTATGATTGCAGGAAATGTATGAGTTTAGATTTATTGACTTAAAATGGGGAAAGACTTCCGTAGAAGGCTTAAATTTAGCATGTAAAAATCTAAAAATCACCAGTAAAAGTTAAATAAACATATTTAAAAGATACACTGTATTAGGGGAAAGTGTGTGCATTATATATAATAGGAAAAATGTTTATTTTATTAAAATAATTTTCACAAATAAACAAGAAAAAAGGCAAACATTCTTAAAGGAACTGGTTAAATATTATTAAAAAGTGGAATCACAAAGGGCTGGCCAACACAAGATTGGAAATTGCAAACGAAAATAACAATGAAATACATCCAAGTTATCTAAAATCTAAAAAGACTGATAATAGTGTTAACCAAGACGTGTATAAAAATGGAAAATAGGCATATCCTTTGACTCAGTAATTTCATTTCTAGTAATCTATAAGAGATCTACCTATCTAGCTATATAATGTTGAAAGACACCGTTGATTATTATAACTAAGAGGAGTGAACAATTTAAATATTATTAGTAAGTGAGGAGTTAGTTAAAATATTTTACATCTATGAAGTTTCTGCACGTATTGAAAAGATTGAAGTCAATTCATAAATAATGATATAAGCACATCACCAAGAAACATTTTAAGTGAAAAAATAGAAATAATTACAGAAAAATACACATGGTACAATCCAATTTATATGAGGAAATTGAGTAGATATTTATATGAATATCCATATAAATGAAAACAAATGTGATTGTCAACGTACACCCTAGATGGTCAAAATGGATTATTCTAGGAGAGAGGAGGAAATTATGTGGAGATGAGAATAGTCAAGGAGAAAGAATTTGTGCATATTTTTGCTTAATAATAAAAATATTTTAGCATAAATTTTAAAAATGAAATTAATATCCACATATCTTTCCCTATTTTGCTTCCGTCCAAAAATCATCTATATTACAACTGCATACGTGTGCAGCAAAGAAAATTTTTAATTTTTGTGAAGGAAAAATGAATCCATTTCTGAAAGTCATTTCCATTTTAGAGAGTTTGGAAGTACTAAAATGATGCAAATGAGAAAATCTTTCTCACGTTTTTTTTTACTGAGACCTAAACAAAAGCTATTTCAACAAATGGATGCAGCACTGGAAGTGCTAACTCACCTATGCCAAGAAATTTGGAAGATGGCTACCTGGCCAACCAACTGGAAGAGATCAGTATTTATGCCTATTCCCAAGAAAGGTTATCCAACCGAATGTGGAAATTATTGAACAATATCATTAATATCACACACAAGTAAAATTTTGCTGAAGATCATTCAAAAGCGGCTGCAGCAGTATGTCGACAGGGAACTGCCAGAAATTCAGGCCGGATTCAGAAGAGGACGTGGATCCAAGGACATCATTGCTGATGTCAGATGGATCGTAGCTGAAAGCAGAGAATACCGGAAAGATGTTTACCATGTTTTATTGACTATGCAAAGGCATTCGATTGTGTGGATCCTAACAAATTATGGATAACATTTCGAAGAAAGGGAATTCCAGAACACTTAATTGTACTCATGAGGAACCTGAACACAGATCAAGAGGCAGCTGTTCAGACAGAACAAGGGGATACTGAGTGGTTTAAAGTCAGGAAAGGTGTGTGTCAGGGTTGCATCCATTCACCATACCTATTCAATCTGTATGCCGAGCAAATAATCTGGGAAGCTGGACTATATGAAGAAGAATGGGGCATCAAGATTGAAGGAAGACTCATTAACAACCTGTGATAGGCAGATGACACAACCTTGCTTGTTGAAAGTGAAGAGGACTTGAAGCACTTACTGGTGAAGATCAAAGACCACTGCCTTCAGTATGGCTTACACCTCAACATAAAGAAAGCAAAAATCGTCACAACTGGACCAATAAGCAACATCATGATAAACGGAGAAAGGATTGAAGTTGTCAAGAATTTCATTTTACTTGGATCCACAATCAACACCCATGGAAGCAGCAGTCAAGAAACCAAAAGAAGCATTTCATTGGGCAAAGCTTCTGCAAAATACCTCTTTAAAGTGTTGAAAAGCAAAGACGTCACCTTGAAGGTTAACGTGCGCCTGACCCAAGCCATGGTTTTTTCCAGTGCATCATAGGCATGTGAAAGCTGGACAATGAATAAGGAAGGCGAAAGAATTGACACCTTTGAACTGTGGGTTGGCGAAGAATATTGAATATACCATGGACTGCTAAAAGCATGAACAAATCTCTTTTGGGAGAAGTACAACCAGAATGTTCCTTGGAAGGATGTTGAGACTACATCTTACATACTTTGGACATGTTGTAAAGAGGGATCAGTCCCTGGAGAAGGACATCATGCTTGGTAAAGTAGAACATCAGTGAAAAAGAGGAAGACCCTCAATGAGATGGATTGACACAGTGGCTGCAACAATGGGCTCAAGTATAACAAGACTGTGAGCATGGCTCAGGACCCGGCAGTGTTTTGTTCTGTGGTCACAGGGTTGCTATGAGTTGGAACTGACTTGATGGCACTTAAAAACAACACAAACAGAAAGCAACATTTGATTAAAAGAAAGAGCCTTGACACATTCTCATTTCCTTTTCTCTTTATTGCAGGATTGCAACTGCTATTCTTTGTTTCTTGTCAAGCTTCTCAGTCCCTTCAAAAATGAAATCTCCCTTCTTCACCCTTTTCATCCCTTTTATCTTCTCCTTCTCCTTGATTTCCTCTCTCTGTCTTCTTTTTTCCTTTTTTCTCCCTTACTTTTCTTCTTCTATTGAGCTTCTGTCATTCTTGTGCAGTAGTTTCTTAGATGAAACCTACTGCTTCCCTTCCCCCACCAGGAAGATACTGCACAGGTGTAGCCCCATCAGAGCCACTGTGTGTCTCTCACCATGCAGTAGTACACAGCTGTGTCTCTCAGAGTAACGTGGGGCAGGATCAGGGTACTGGTCTTTCTGCCAGTAGGGATGGTCAGAGAGGCCATTTCATTGGTCACGTTGTTATTTATGCCATGAATCACGTACTGTGGACCCTGATGGGGAATCTGTCGATACCAATATATATACTCATTCCCACTGATTGTGGAGTGGTTACAAAGCAAGTTTACACGTTTTCCTTCAGTACTCTCCATTGAATTTGGCTGTGTGGTTTTAGCATCACCCGTGATACCTGAGGGGTTGAGAAACAACAGATTAGCTCTTGGTTGTTAAATTAAGGTGCATCTAAAGGTCAGGAACACAGGCACTCCCAGAGCTCTCCTCTCTGCCCTTACCCCATATGTAAGTATTTTTGTGTGTGATGCACAGTATGAGAGAAATATTTCCAGTATTTATTACTGTGCTGTTCAGAGCTATGAGGATAAAGATAAATTGCCCACCTTCCATGGCTCTTGGGATCAATGAACCTAAAGCTCCTTATAGCCTGAGAGCTGTAGAATTTAGCTGTCTTTGGATATGGCCAGCCCCTTACACAGATGCCAGACTTCCAAGAGAAACATGTAGACACAAACTTTTCAGTAATCTGATAAAGCACTATGGGAGAAGTGGAGACAGTAGATACCTCTCTTGTGTCCTTCAGCCACAAAAGTCATCCTTTCTTAACCCTAGAGCACTTACCCAAAGTTAGGAGAACAGCCATTCCTGTCACCAGCCTCATAGTTCAAGTGGGAACTGGGGTTCTAGGCCCCAGAGCTCAGGCTCTCTGTCTGATCCTAGGCTGGGGGAGCTCCCAAGAAACAAAGCAAGCAGCCACCACTAGCACAATCCCCACAAGGCAGCTTTCACTTTGGTGTTCCCCAGCCAACTGTCAACCAAAGACAGAGCAGCGTTTTGGTTGGTTACACCCCAACTTGCAGTCTTAAATTTAAGATTGTTTACCCAATGTCCAGCCCTAATACAGAGGGCTTAAAAGGAGCTCATTTTCGAGGTTCAAACTCAAATAGGCTATATCTCGATTAGTAAAATCACTTACAAGGAAGTTATCCAGCCCATATTCATGGTAAGAGTCTTTGGGTGGTGCAAATGGTTAACTCACTCTGCCGCTAACCTAAAGGTTGGAGGTTCGAGTCTACCCAGAGGTGCCTCGGAAGAAAAGCCTTGCAATCTACTTCCAAAAAATCAGCCACTGAAAACACTGTGGAGCACAGTTCTACTCCTACACACATAGGGTTGCCTTGAGATGGAATCGACTTTACAGCAACTGGTTTTTTATGATAAAGGCAACAACCACCACTAATTGGTGGTTTGATGCTCCATTGAGCTGATAGGAAATGTCCTTTAATCCAAGACATCTATTTTGAGCCCTGTACTGTAATGGGAGGAAGACAATTTCTAGCCACATTACCAACCAGAGCAAGTAAATGTTAGAAGCAGTAATATATAATTTAAATGCAAAAGTTAGAAATTTCTTTCTGGAAAAAAATTACCTTAAGCAAAGTTAAAAATAAAATGGCACTGTGGGAGAAAATATTTCCAAGCTATATCACAGAACTAATTTCATAATTGTATAATATTGCTATGCTCAGTGTGACAAGAAAAGAGAGCGTTAGACCCCAGGCTAAAGCCAAGTTGGCTGGTACTCGGATCTCCCACACTGCCTACTGGAATTATGTCTCAATTATTTTCTAGATGGCATTGCTGGAGGTCTCTGGTCTTCAGACAAGAAGGAATGAGTTGAATGGTACTTATTCTTATCCCACTTGAGCCCCTCCTTAACTCAGGTTTTCTCATCTCCATACCCATGTCTAGGGATGGAATGCTTTGAGGATACTAAGGAGAAAAGAAGGGAAGGAAAAGACAGGAAGAGAAGATTTGTAAAGGGAAATGAAATAAAATCATTTTACAAAAAAGTGGAAGTAAACATGAAAAAATTTCTCTGGTTATTCTCAAAAGTGGTTATTAAATAAATAGAATGGAATAAAATTAAAATTACTCATTTTTCTCTGCTACAATAACTAGGCTTGTCACTCCACTATGGCAACAACTACCTGGCTATTTAAAATTGAACTATTTATTAATCATTTCTCTCTTCATTTCTCCCCGTGCCAGGTTAGCTCTCTGCTATGTGTTTGGGAAAGGACTTAGGGCCCCCATGCCCTTGAAGCTGGGCACATACTCAGCAAAAGGCTATAAAGTACAAGGCAGTGAAAAAGGATGAAAGTAAGTTCTTTGCACAACTTGATGACAATCTCTCCCTCCCCGTGGAAGGAGCTTAGATTTGCAGCTCTAACTGCTCCCTCTTGTGACTGCATATGTGAACTCCTTTACTTAGAACTAGTCAGTTAGAAATGTTTCAAGAGGATTGTATCTAAAAATAGATACCTTAGCTATCCTACCTCCCTCTAGTGGTGAGGCTCAGGGGCTCATCTTTTCGTGAACAGCTTCCTATGGCAATGCTCTAAGAAAAAAACAAAACAAAACAAACAAACAAACAAAAAAACCCACTAACTGTCCTCAAGTTGAGATGACTCAGATTCATGGTGACCCCGTGTGTGTCAGAGTAGAAATGTGCTCCATAGGATTTTCAATGGCTGATTTTTCTAATGTAGATTGTCAGGCCTCATCCTAATTATTTTTAGTTACTTTGGGATTTTAGAACTATTTCTATGATGCTTTCTAAGTTGTTGAATTCCTTTACTTTCCTTGTATCTTACTCTTCCGATGTTTGAAGGTAGTTGCCAAATCCCACGCTAGTCACAATAATTATTTGTTGGATAAATGTATTAATTAATATTTACTTACAGCCTTACTGAAAGAAGTTATATGGAACAACTTTTTAAATTATTCCAAATAAAAGTATTTTTAATTTTCTGGAAAACAAACCCAACAAAAGTATCCAGTACCAACAAAAGGTAAACGCAAGATTATGTCTGTGGGCAAAAGTAAAATAGAAAACGCACCAACTCTCACTCCTCATCTTCCACGAAAAGAAAAATTCACAGATCTAGGATGGGGAAGGCTTAATTATGAGAATATGGCAGTGTACAACATAATGATCATGCCCGCTGAACTCGTTGCCATAGAGTCGGTTCCGTCTCATAGCAACCTTATTGGAGAGAGTAGAACTGCCCCATAGGGTTTCCAAGGCTGTAATTTTTACAGAAGCAGACTGCCACATCTTTCTCCTCTGGAGAAGCTGGTGAGTTTGAACTACTGACTTTTCCGTTAGCAGCCAAGCGCTTGTGTAATCATTTGCCATCAGGGTTCCTTGATGGTCATACAGCCATACTTAATTGAATACTATTCACTGTTCATCTACTGGAGACCTGGTGGCACAGTGGTTAAGCGTTTGGCTGCTAACCAAATGGTTGACATTTCAAATTCACCAGCTGCTCCTTGCAAACCATATGGGGCAGTTCTACTCTGTCCTGTAGGGTTGCTATGAGTCAGAATCGACTTAACGGCAATAGGTTTGGTTTTGGTTTGGTTCATCTACTATGTGCCAGATTATAAAATAGCAATAGTAATTCAGTGCTAGTATAAATATATAAATAAAATAAATATAGGGATTGCTAAAAGAAACGTGAAAAGTAGCAGTCATTATGTAATCTAGTTACATTATACAAAAGTCAGACCAACATCAGAACTTTTTATCTTAGCGTTCATTACTGCAAAATTCAAATTGTATGGAGAATCCAAGACTATCCAGAAAAAAATAATTAATATTGTAGTAGTTTTTGGTTTTGTTTGTCTGTTTTTGTATAACACTTGTATTGATAATTAGGAAATCCTGGTGGAGTAGTGATTAAGAGCTATGGCTGCTAACCAAAAGGTTGGCAGTTAGAATCTACCAGGCACTCCTTGGAAACTCTATGCAGGAGTTCTACTTTGTCCTATAGGGTCACTATGAGTTGGAATCAACTCTACAGCAAGGTTTACAGGTTACTGATAAATAATTAACATACTGTACAATTTACTCATTTAAAATGTACATTTCATTCGTTTGTAGTATATTCACAGAGCTGTGTAACCATCACCACATCAATTTTAGAACATTTTCATCATTCTGAAAAGGAATCCATACCCATTAGCAGTCATTCACCATTTTCTCTCACCCATGTAAAAAGAAAAATCAAATCAGTTGCCCTCAAGTGGATTCCTATTCACGGCAACCACCTACCTGTTGATGTTGTTAGGTGCTGTTGAGTTGATTCCAACTCATAGCGACCCCATAGGACAGAGTAGAACTGCCCTATAGGGTTTCCAAGGAGAGGCTGGTGGATTCTAACTGCCGACCTTTGGGTTAGCAACTGAGTTCAGTCAATGTGCCACCAGGGCTCCACCACCCACCTAAGTGACCACTAATCTACTTTGTGTCTCCAGTTTTGCCCAATCTGGACATTTCACATAAATGGAATTGTACAATATGTGGCTTATAGGGACGGCTTCTTTCACTTAGCATTATGTTTTCAAGATACACCTATTTTTTTATTGAGATGAAATTCACATGACATAAAATTAATCATTTTAAAGTGAACAGTTCAAAGACATTTAATACATTTATTGTGGTGTGCAATCACCACCTCTATCTAGTCTCAAAACATTTTCATCACTATAAAATAAAACCTCACACTCATTTAGCAATTACTCCACATGGTCCCCTCCCTATCCCCTGGTGACCACCAATCTGCTTTCTGTCTGTCTGGATTACCTAATCTGCATATTTTGTTTAGGTGGAATCATAAAATATGTGATCTTTCGTGTCCGGCTTTTTTCACTTAGCATAATGTTTTCAAGGTTCATCCAGTTAAATTGCATGTATCAGTATTTCATTCATTTTATGGCTGAATAATATTCCATTGTATGCATATACCACAATGTATTTATGTATTTTCATGCATTCATTCACAGATGGACGTTTGGGTTGTTTCCACCTTTGGGCTATTGAGAATAATGCTGCTATGAACATGTGTGTACATAGATTTATTGGAGTACATATTTTTAATTCATTTGAGTATATTCCTGGGAGTAGAATTGCTGGGTCATACCGTAATTCTAAAGGAGATCTGATGGTTAAGCACTTGACTGCTAACCAAAAGGTCAGCAGTTCGAACCCCCTAGTGGCTCTGCAAGAGAAAAGACCTGGTGATCTGCTCCCATAAGGCTTACGGCCTAGGAAACCCTATGAGGGAGTTCTACTCCATCCTATAGGATTGCTGTGAGTTGGAATCGACTTGATGGCACGCAACGACAACAACGTGGTAATTCTACGTTTAACTTTTTGAGGAACCAAACTGTTTACAACAGTGGCTGAACCATTTTACATTCCCACTATCAGTAAATGAAGATTCCAATTTCTCCACACAACAACAATGTGGTAATTCTATGTTTAACTTTTTGAGGAACCAAACTGTTTACAACAGTGGCTGAACCGTTTTACATTCCCACTATCAGTAAATGAAGATTCCAATTTCTCCACACAACAACAATGTGGTAATTCTATGTTTAACTTTTTGAGGAACCAAACTGCTTACAACAGTGGCTGAACCATTTTACATTCCCTCTATCAGTGAATGAAGATTCCAATTTCTCCACATCCTCACCAACACTTATTTTGCTTTTTTCTGGTAATAGCCATCCTAGTGAGTGTGAAATGGTACCTCATTATGGTTTTGATTTACATTTTCCTAATGACTGATGGGAAGAGCCCTGGTGGCGCGGTGGTTGAGCACTCGACTGTTAACTGAAAAGTCAGCATTTCAAACCAACCAGCCACTCCATAGGAGAAATATGTGGCAGTCTGCTCCTGTAAAGATTACAGCATTAGAAAC